GTCAAAATTATTTATACCAATGGAAGACATACACATGGACAAACTGAGATACCATGAGGCTGTCTTTCTTTAAAAGATATAATAATTTGTTAAAAATATGGTTACAAATTTGGAACTCAACAGATGAGTAAATGCCTATCATGTAGAGATGTAAATTTCCTGCTTGTTCTTTTTTTTTTTTTACACGTGAGATAACTAATGAACAAAACAAGCTAACTTCCATAACAGCTCCCACTGGCATGGTCAGTGTGAGATAATATGCACCTGAATCTATACTTGGTAAGGCCAGTGTCATGTTCACTATGATATGAACAAGTCATTAACATAAATGATCCACCATAACAAGACTGAAAGTTAACAGTGGTTAAGGAAACATGTTGAAATATACTATCAGTACTGCATCCTGGAGTCAGGTAAAACTCTGTAAACAAGAAGTCTGCAATGGAAAATTTTAAATCATAAATAACTAACAAAGCAAAAATCTGGCAGGAGCCAGTCTGGCGGGCTAAACGATCATGTGAGTCTATTTAATCCCAAGTGTCAAGATGCATAAAACAACTGTCAGATGAAGTGCTGACAGCATGAGGGATAAACAGAACCATATGACCTCTATGCTGGTTTCACAAAAGTTGAGCAAGGCTATCCTTGATAGCCTGACTCTTCTGAAATCTTAGTTTTATACACACAAACATGATTACCAGTTCCATTCTCTCATAATATAAAACGGATATCCTGTTCCATCTTACTAACACAATGGAATTTCGTTTAGGAAAACATTTACATTGTAATATATATATATATATATTCAGTATATACTGAAGTACACTGACTATATAAGACTGTCAGTGTACATGAGGAGAAGTAATGTTTGAGTCCACCACAGTAAGTAGTCATGGAATAGAAAAATGTTTTAAATGAAAACATGTATAATATTATGTACATACATTTTCTTTCATACAGCAATTGCTTCAGGACCAACAAACTCTACTGTAATAGAACCAAGAGGTTCAACACTTGTATCAACAAAGCTCTGATGAGTCATGTCAACCCAGTTCACAAACTCATAGTCAAGATTATTTATAATTTCTTCCTCCCATGTCCCTCTCAATTCAATTAGTCACATTTTCTAACAGGTCTTCTGTCAACACTCTGTACCCATTTCTTGTTTCCTGATCTGAGCTATATGTTCAGCCCATCATAAATTCCTCTGATCTGACTATTATAACCAAGTCATAAAGAGAGATTTAATGGGTAATTCAGTGTGTGTGCGCGCATACTGAGATTAAGTAGGTACAATTGGACTTTTATACATATGGGAATAGGGGTGTCACACTTTGTCATGTAACAACAGGGATGGAATGGGATTACAAACTATAATGAAACAGTGAATTCTATGTGCTTCTGATGTCCATTTTTACTCCCCTGAACTTCTGACATAACTGGCCAATTCTCACAAAATTTAGTAGGAAATCATGTCATACAGCCTTTGTCTAGACTACAATTTATAGTCAGTTCCAATTAACAGCAAAATGAAATCTGACACAGAATTTTTTATCTGGCCAATATTTTCTTAAAGCAGTGTCATACAAGTGGAGCAGCCCTATTACCGACAAAAACCCCCAGCAACAAGCCTTGCACAGGTCATTAAAAACAGAAACAATGAATGCCAGTAAAAGTTTGGTGAAGACTTGAATAGCTCTTATTATCTACATCATACTTACAGGAAGGTTTCAGGCATCTTTAATTAACTTCACATGAGTTTGGGGAGTTCATGTCAAAAGTTTACCTACATATCAGACAAAAATATTTATTGCCTTGGAATGCACAAGAGTAGGTACCATCATTACACATGCATGGTCTGCAAGTATATTTATGGTCTACTTTTACTAGTTCTCATGGTCTCTTCGCTTGCGGATTTCTTATATTTTTCCTTCTACCCTGAAGATGGAGGCGATACGTTCCTCCGAAACGTCGATTAACACCACATATACACGGTGCCAAATCCCAGAAGACTGCTTTCTTCATAGTCACCGCTATGAAAGTCTCAAATCTTACATATCTATGGTTGCTAGAAGCACGGTGATGACAAGACATAAGGCTGTAGAAATGAATTCTAATCTGAGATATCAGATTGGAGGTTTTCACAGCATCTTCGTCTTTGTCTTCATCATCTCGATCTTCATGGAGTCAGACTGAGTCCACTTGGTACTGCTGCCACTATTGGCCTATTATACCAGTCCCAGATGATAGATGAGAGTGATTGTGGAGCAACTGATGGAATGAAGATTGGCAGGGGACACAAAAGTACTTGGAGAAAACCTGCCACAGTGCCACTTTATCCACCACAAATCCCACATGTTCTGACGGAGGCTCAAACCTGGGCTGCTGTGGTTGGAAGCCAGTGACTAACCACCTGACCTATGGCATGGCCTCACAGCAATAAAACTACTCTCTCTCACACTCACACACAAAACCAACTTTCTTTGAAATAAGTGAAAATTGCATCAGGACAAGGTTTGGTTGTCTTACAAAATGTGTATATTTAAGGGTAATTATACATAAAATAGTGTACTGGACTAGAACAGAAGTCTAGGCCAGGACACTATTGCTTCATTGGATCTCAATGCTCCAAATAATCTCAATATCCTGTGCTGCATATTAGCAAGTTGTTTAGTTTTCATTCCTGCCACAAGAATGTATCATAAACTGGAGAAGAGGAGCGTAATACTTATACAGTTTTAATAAGTAGGGAAGTGTTTCTCAACCTTTGGTCCATGGTCTGTAATGTTATATAATCCAGTATTACAAGACATGAAAAACTGGAACCATTTAAATTAAAAAAATTGTGGCAAATTATTTAAAAATATTACTTTAAAATGATGGATAGAAATAAGTGATTTATGGTACCTTTAACTGTAATTTTTTTATTTGTATAAAAATGCAACTGGAAGCTCTTTACAGCTAAGGGGAATGTTATGACAGCTGAGTAGTCTTCAGTGTGGACCTTACATGTAGTGTTCTAAAAGGTAAAGCTGTCCCTGTGCTTAGCTAATTAAGCACTACACGATGACCACTAACCTCCCACTAGTGCCAAGGTTATGAAAACATGGATCTATTATACATCTATACATTTACAGCTGCCAAAAGTTTCCCAAACTGCACTTCATTTTTTGAATCCTGACAATATAAATCTGGTCATCAATGCAAAACCCATCTATAGTCATTCTTATCACATGACAATATTAACAACTGAAATGTAGAACTGATATTCAGTCTGGTAATCAATACTTTGCCTGTAAGTATAAGGTTGGTACCAGAAATATAAAACTTACATATGCAGCAGTCTGTACATATTGGTACATGTACACCCACTGCTAGGCAATGTGTTGGTAAACAAGATCCCGCGAAGACAGATTATTGGTTAGGCAACAATAAATTAGGTTGTTTTCTATGTGGTCTGTGCCAAGCAACAGTAGAATAACACATTTCTGCGTATCAGACCGTGCTATGAAAGTGGTGACATCATCAACAATAGAGTTGGTGTTTTCTGTGGGGTATGTGCAGAGTCCTTATAAGAGAAGGGAGTGACAGAATTCATTCCGGGTTCAGTGGGTTGTGGAAGGTGAGAGAATGGACAGTATGGAGGGATCAGTGACCTCTGAAGCAAAAAAACAAGGAAAAGACGTGGTGGAAGGGTCGAACCCTCTGAAACAGAAGAACCTACTAACATTACTAGCAATGTTTCTGTAAGAGGAGCAGGAAATGTGTGTGAGCATCGGCCACTCGGGATAATTTTGCCCTGCCATTAAAAAAAAAACTTTGAATGATAGTGGGAACCTGGACTAACTGGAACCTTATAAGGGAACCACTTGGGACAAGTTGGCCTTAAGGAAGGGCCAGTGGTAGCAGTTGGAGAGCAGACATTGCAGAAAGAAAGAGAATGACTTGAGGAAGACGTTGAAACCGCAGCCCTTGGAAAGGAAGGAAAGGTGATACACCATTAGGCTATTTGGGATGAACAGCCTTAAGGAGGGAGCAATGTTACATGTACACCCATTGCTAGGCAACGTGTTGGTAAGCAAATTCCCGTGAAGACAGATTCTTGGTAAACAGTCCATTGATAGGTGACGGAACAGTAGATGAGGCTATGTTTTCTATGTGGTCTGTGCTAAGCAACAGTAGAATAACACGGTTATGCAATCTGTTTCTAAGCAACAGCTTGGTAAACACATTTCTGTGTATTGGACTGTGCTATGAAAGGGGTGACATCATCAATAATAGAGATGGTGATTTCTATTGGTTCTGTGCAGAGTACTTATAAGAAAAGGGAGTGACAGAATTCATTCAGGGTAGTTATGAGTCAGTCGTAAGCTGGAGGAGCGAGTCCAGAATAATTTTTAGTTCCGAGATTCCAGAGCGACTGAAGACGAAATAGCAAGAAGACTACACAGTGATTTGAAGTGCTAATTTCTGTATATGAGACAAACTCCGTCTTAAGTGCAGCAATTTAATTGTAGTTCTTTCTCCTTTCCTTCCTCTATACTACATGTTTTGGCCCTAAATGGCCATCATCAGCTGTATATTCTTACATGGCTGCTACACTGCCTGTAGTTTAAAATTTAAAACACCAGTCTTTCCAATTGTATGTATGTATGTATAAAATCTTTGTTAACCTACACACGTCAATTTGATTGCAAAAACGACGATCACACAAAACAGTTGTCACTATAAACTCTGCCGAAACTAGTCCTTACCTTCTGAAGCAACGGTAGTCGGCTTATCGACTCAGGAATGTTAGCTCTATGTGCTCATAGCGGCAAAACGCGGTCCTACAAAAGCTCTGCCCACAAAAAAATTAGTTTGGTTTCTTTTGGGTACCCCATCGTATGTACATTTTCACTTGCTGTCTATAATCAGGAGTTGCAAAGACATACCCAAGTAATACCAAGGCAAGAAAATATGCCAGTAAAACAGTTACAAAAAGATGGTGTGGTACTTACTGGTTGTCAGACTGCTGTGGGCTGAAGCTAGCTGCACTGGGGCTGGTAGATGTTACTGCAGAACTGAGAGGGGTCGGAGTCAGAGATTCCGTAGGAATCTGACAAAGAAAATTCCCAATTATACACTGCCCTTTAGTGCATGTGACCTTAAGAAATCTATATTTATTAGGCTATATAAAACAAAACAAGAAATAATGGATAATAGGAAAGTCTCACAAAAGCAACACCTGAAAGTCTTGTGAACATTCATCCACAATAGTAAAACAGACTTAAAAAATAATTTCAAATGTCCTTTGAAAGAATATAGCTAAAAACACTCCTGCTGATCATAAAGCGATAAAGGCATCCTGATTTCATTTCTTTTCACATTGTATGAAAGAAGGTTTAATAGCAAAAGACATACCCAAAATGTGCAGAATCCCCTAATCCAGCAAACAAACAGTCTAAGGCTTTCAGGATATAAGGTTCAATACAACTACACTGTGGCAGGTATAATAAGTGAAGTAAGGAGACACTGAAGAGGAATGTATGAGGGCTGAGGCTCAGAAAGCCATGACTTGAATCAAACTGTAGCACCATGAAACATGAGACAAGCTTCAGGACTTACATCATTGAGCACTGTACAGTCATATGAGGGCTGAAACTTTTCCTGCTCCAGGGGTGGACGTTTCAGTATCTTCTCTCGGTCCTGTTTGTGTTTACGGTCAGCACCTTTCAGCTGAAAGCAGGATTAACAACATAGTTATATCAATATATTTTAATTCCATTTTCTCTTCAATCCACTTTCTACAGTTTTAAGTACTTACTTTACCAAGTTTATGACCAGGGTACTGAGAAGAATATTTGGACCCAAAGGAGGACAGAGAAAACTGCATAATGAGAAGCCTTACAGTGCATACTCTTCACTCAGGGAAGCCCCTTCCCTACTTCCTGAAAGAACAAAGGAAACCTCCTTCTGCAGATCAACCATAGGGATTCTCCAAACTGGCCCGCTTGATAACTACCATTTTTAGCATCTTGTCCTTATTCCTCTTCCTTCTGATCTTCTTATCCTTGAGCATCATAGGTGTCAATGCACAAGAGCATCTATGTTCTATGTAACTGCCCTTTTTGGAGACCCTACAGAATGACCTAGTGAAAACTCTTTCTGGTGTGAAGAATGCCGCCTTCTGGGATGTGGTGCCATGTAGATATTGTGTAAACAGACATTTTGGAGTTCTTCACTCACGGATTTTTATACCCTGAAGATGGGAGCGATACGTTCATCCGAAACATAGGTTTACACATTATCTATACGGCGCCACATCCAAGAAGACGGCATTCTTCATAGTCACCACCGTGAAAACCTCAAATCTTACACCTTTCTGGTGTGTTGTCACTGCTCCAGGAACCATGTATCATCTGATCTCTCCCCTTTCACTTCCTCCTCTAAATTTCTTCTAACCTCCATTACACCCAAAAGAGAATAATAATAATCTTCATCTCTTCTCCCCTAAAAATGAAAACTTCTCCCCTCATTTCCACTTAATACTCAGTTCCACTCATTTACAAAACAAAAATCCTTTTTATGATCACCATCTTCCACTGACTTGCTCAAAGCCCCACTTTCTGTTCTCCCTTCTGTATATGGCATTAACTTCATTTCCTCTGTGGCTTAAATTAAAGAAATTCGCATAGTGGGGTGTGGAGTCCAGTTGGGTCCACTCGGCACGGTGGCCACTGATTGGCCTATTCTAGCCTGTCCGGGGTGATTATGATGATGGAGAATTGTGGAATGAAGATTGGCTGGGGAAACCGAAGTACTCCAGGAAAACCCACCCCAGTGCCACTTTGTCCACCACAAATGCCACTTGACCTGACCCGGGGTCGAACCTGGGCCGCCACGGCGGGAAGCCAGCGACTAACCGCTTGAGCTATGGCGCGGCCTCCTCTGTGGCTTACTCTTCTACTTTGAAAACTCCTCCAAAAGTTGGTGCCTATGTATCCAACTAAATGGCGTCACATCTCAGAACACCTAACTTCCAAATATTTGTAAGATGAGGAAGTTATGACATGTAGTACTCATGACAGAGATGAGAAATGCATACAGAACTTTAATAGAAGACCTGACAAGAATGGACAATTTAAGACCTACTATAGATGGGTGTAGTTTCATGTTGTCTGCCAACTCTGTCAACATTACAATCACTCAAATCTTGTCACTGTGTATGGTAAGTTAATACACTAATATTGGTTTATTTGAAGATTGTTGTGTTGAGAGCCACAATCAGTAGTCCATGACAATAAATTTTACAACATTTTGCATCTACAGCATTGATGGTGTAACTAGATGGCTTACTGAAATACAATGACACTTACTGGTATTGTCTTGAAGTTTGAGGGTAATTTCTTGCAAAGTGAAGACTTTCGCTGTAAAAAAAAAAACTATTCACAGGCATCACTTGTACACATCAACTTGAGATGGACTTCAAATTTCAGCCTGTTGTTGAGTAATGATGTTGCATAAAACTTATATTTTATTTGGTCTTTGAATCTGTATGAGAGAATTTTTGCATATAAATAAGTTCTGGTTTTTGTTGTTTGGATCTGCCTCATGGCTGCTTGTTTGTTCTACAGATTTCACTGCCATACTTTTAAAGCACAATTCATAACCACTGCTTCTGTTATATTTTGGTACATTATTCCTGGAGTCACCTCAGCCTCCAACAGAAATGAGTACCAGGAATCTTCCTGGATAAAAAGGCAGCTGGTGCATAATTCTGACCTCACCTCCACCCCTGAGCTGACTGACTAGAAAATGTGGGAGCCTCAACATCTCATAACCCTATGGGCCTTTATGGCCTGTTACAGGAATAGCTTTACTTGTTTTAACATAGTAATAATTTTCTTCCTGACATGGTCTGCCATTTTTTATGTTTAATTAACACTTGTGCTAGCATAGAATCTCATCACATTGTAGATCGGTGAATTGTTTCTTTCACAACTCTGATGGTACTTTGAGTGCCCTTGTGGCTTATGACCTTGAAATATTCCTCTCTCTCTCTCACTACTCTTATAGCATGTGCCATGAACACCCAGAAAATTTAAAACTGATTACAAGTTCTGGTAAGGACTAATCGCCTACTTTCCTTTGATATGACACAGATTGCATAGAAAATGATGGGTCCAACAATTCTTCTATTGTTGTGTATTTGTTGCTGCAGTAATGTTTTTACCTTGCGTAGTGACAACAGGGGGATACAAATGCAGACACACAGGCTGACGGGAGGGATTTATGAAGTATGCTGTTGAGTTGGGCTCAGGTGCCGTGATATGCATACCAAGTTTCACAAAGATTGGTTCAGGCATTCAAAAGTTTGTGGAGGGGGGTACACAGGCACCCAGACAGCATGGTGATCTCATTAGCATACCTTTACTTTCTCAAAATAAGGAAAGTAGGGTAAAAATGTTTAACATATATATAGCATTCAAGTTCATGGCAGTGACACAGAGTTTTGTAACCCTTAAAAGGGGCAACAAAAACTCACCTTCTGTTTGGGAAACTACAATACATGAACTTGACATGCAAACACAGTTATCAGAAAATTCTTGAAGTCTGAGATTGAAAAATTTGTCTCAATGAAGATCATTATTTATTTTCTAAAAAATTCTGGGCTCACATACCTAGTTATTGTATCCCTCTTAAGTCTTTCACACTTGTCAATTGCGTGAACCACAAAACCTTCATATTCTGCTGAGATAAAAAGAATATCTCTTTTGTCTTTCCAGTTTGGCATAGTCACACCACTTGCAAGCTGGAAAGTTTACCATTTGAGAGTTGGTATTTAGTTACTTGTGTAAAGTTATTTTATAATGTTCCACTGCAGCAGGTGTTAGCATGCAACATGTGTAATGCACAATCATAACTGCAGAGTGAGTGTCCAATGTTCAGCTTTCTGTCCAAATTTTATATTACCCGGTTGTCCTGTGTAGTTCGAGATACACAGTATCATACCACTGGGTTCTGTGCCTCTTACCTTTCACAGGGAGCCTGAAAACCAGTTGTGCTCTCCATAAAACTGCTGATACATCCAGCAGAAGTTCCTCCCCAAGGTAGTATAAATTATTAATGGTATTGGTGAACAGGACTTATATAGGTCTTATGCACATTAATTACCCATCAGAAGTATGTTCTCTGAGTTCTGAATCTCTTGTGAAATGGACATATCAGAGAATGAGAAGAAAATTATTCCTGCTCATATGTAAAGAAAAACACTCCATTTTGAGTTTTCCAGTAATCCTGGAAAAGAGGAACTTGGATTATAACCCTTTAAAACAAAAGACACAAAAATACTTCCATCTCAGAGGTGTTACATCTTTCCAACTCATTCTTCAACTCCAGAAAGAAATACTTCTTCAGGAATGTATCAGTGTTTCTTACAGTCACTTCACAGACCTCATTACTGGCAACTGCTCATATAATGACAAAATATATAGATTCCTTGCTATTAACAATTCCAGCCTTCAGTCCAGGTACACCAGTACGATCAATTTTTTCATGGTTGGGAATCCATCTGACCATACATGGTCTGGGTCAGATATTGTGGACCAGGAAGAAAAAAAAACAGTTGCACCTAGCTGCACCTGTAGAAGAGCTATTTACATTTTTTTATTTGCTGTTGCTTTTTCTCTTGTGAATTGCTACATTTACTGCCAGCTGAATACTGCATCATCCTCGTAAGTTTTACTTCAGAATGTCATGGTAGTTTTGTTCACAAAGGACAATGAGTTGAGTTACATGAATTATAAAGTTATATCCCCCATAGAAACCATCTGCAAGAACCTGGACCTTATTCTGAGTGCCACTGCAGCAAGAAGAAACTAGATCACAGTGCCAACCAGTTCAGACACATGAAGCCACTGAGATTCAATGGCATTCATATGCATCACTGGAATCTAGAGTAAGAGCCATGTGACACATGAATATCAAGCAGCAGCAATGTGCTAAATAGTGACAACTGTCCACTCGGAAGCTCTGTAACTATGTTCCATTAGCCCTATTAGGAACGCTAAGTGACAGCAACAAATGATGGAGTACAGATGTAAATCACACCTGCAGATGAAGAAATCCATACTGAATTCTGGTAGGGAAACCTCTTGAAAGTGAAAACAGAAACAGGCTTAGGAAATGTGGATTGAATAGAACTACATTAAAACCAGGTTCAATGGCAGGCTTTTAAAAGTGGTGGTTAGTCTTGAACCTTTCGGTTTTAATATCAAAGATAAGGTAGGTAGTTTGCTTCTTTTATGAACCTGTAATCTATAACATAAAATTAAATTCAAATATCAAGAATATTAAGTTAAATTGAACATAAAACATGGCTGACATTACCTTGAAAACTTTGATCTGGCATGCTGCAGCATGTAATCTCCTTAGCGTTCCCTCCCCCTGTAAGTAAGTCTCAACCTGGATTCGAAATGGAACCCCCTTCTCTCCACCATGTTTCTTTGGGGTAAACTCTGTGCTAATGCAGTTCACCTGAAATATAACAGCTGTATCAACTATCGACTGAAAAGTATATATTGGCATTATTAGGTTTGAAAAAAAAACGGTAAAGCTATCTGTCTAACAGGCTGTGACGGCATAGAGGATTGTGAGACTTCGAAGCTCCCACATTTTCCCTAGACTATCAGCTCACAGATGGCAGTAAGGTTGTCAGCCTTATGTGTCTACCGCCTTTTACTCCCCAGGAAGATTACTGGTACTCATTTCTGTTAGAGGCTAAGATGACCCCAAGGCCACAGTGCGACTGGAAGGATTAGGTACATTGGAAAAAAAATCCACCTTATCTGGACTCTAACCTTCAGGCTTGTAGCATGGTGCCTCAACCATGTTACCACGTTTAAGGAAAGAAATAAAGAAACAGATGTCAGTACAACATTATTTCTTACGAATTCCACACTCATGCAGACCTCCATACTTGAAAATACTATGGGCTCTGCAAATTTGCTTATACAGCTTTCCTATGTTTCTTAATGAATGCACACCATTCATTCATTCATTCATTATTGGAGGAGGTGGGTTTCCCCATGCACCGCGACCAGTTGTTGATCTATTATATGTATTATGTATTATATGTATATTATGGGGCATAATTATTTTTTCTGTCCAAAAAACGATTAAATCAAAGTTAACTTGAGCCATGATTGTACAAGGCATATCACCTGAGAGATGTCCATACATACTGCTGAGCATACTGCACAACACATTCTGAACATTCTCACACTACTAGAGTTGCATTTGTGGTATAAATTATTACATATTATTCTCAACAGTGGAAAGATACGGTTATTCTAGTTCTGATTCTGAGATTTTCAGTAGATATACAGCAAGCTCAACAGCTGATTCAGATGGGCATGTCTCAAGCTCATTCTGCATCCCCCTATTTCCCGTTCCCACTATCTACACACTGTGAAGAAAAGAAGTTGATTGTTGCAGTTTTTCAACCTCTTTTTACATACACTAGCTGGTATAATATACGATAAAACTAACATGTACATTGATCAGTCTCAACCAAAGCAAGCAGATACTGCCAAACAGTAGCATCCAACAACAAATGAAGAAATGTGTGTATATTGGACACTTGCAATTTTACAGAGTATGGTCAAGCTGACAGGTCTCCAACTAATGGTAAAGAAGTTCAACAGTTTTTGCTCTCTTCCTCATACAAATAACATCCTGCCACACATTTGTCAAACAACTGCATATTGAAACATGCAATCCAGAAAACCATTCCATTCCGAAACCAAATAAAATATGACCAACTTTCAAATACTCAGAGAAGAAATTTATGGAATTATATGTTCCAGAAAGAGGTGTCATTATAGATGAAATTCTGTAGCCAAGAGAAAGCTTGGCTGCATATATTATATCTCCTTGAAGACAGCCAGGTATGGGATTAATTTTTAACTAACATTAACTAATTACTTTTAAAAAACATAACTTATTTTAACTGCATTAATATTTTTCTCTCAATTTCTTATGCTTGTATAAATCCCCGTATGCTCAACATACATGTAAAGGATTTCTTTATATCGTTGGCTGTGTCTTCTGATGATGGCCAGTAGTGGCCAAAACATGTAAAGGCAAACTTTCATATTCTCATATTAAACTTGTTACACCTGCTAAACCTTACAAGTGATTCATGTTAAAATTTGACATTTTTTTGCATACATATTTTTGAGGCACCCTGTGACCAATATAAGTTTAAGAAATTATTTTTTCTGTGGAACAGTAAGAAAAATTAGACCGTGAAAAATACCTTTTAATTTTCATTGATTTACATTCCTTTTGCAAATTTTCTAACTTGCTATTCACAACAGTACTGCGCAAATTTTAACATTACGAAAAGCCAACAAAGCAGTATGCACCTTGATGTACACTCCAACTTCTTTGGTGGGGTCCCACAAGAACTCAACAGTGTTCAGCAAGTACTGATCCTGAACAACGTCATATATACCATATGAGAGGGGTACATCAACTTCCACAATGCGATCTCCTGGACGTGATGCCTGCCATGCAGCCATCTGCTCACGTTCCATGTACTGCAGCCGGCGCTCATGGAAGCAGATTCGAATCATGCTCTAAAAACACAAAAATTCACTAAATAAAAAATGGCACAGAGAGAGGTTTAAAAATAAATTAGATAATACAAAAATACAAAAAAAAAGTGTTACAAAAAGATACACTGCAATGGCAATCTCAGAACTGGAAAACTGGTTTCAGGTGCCAATATGGTCCTATCCCCAACAAATGTGGATCTCTTGGTGTGTACGCTACCAAATTTTTCCATGTGTACACAACTATAAACCACTCATATACAAAATCACACAACATGGTTTGTAAAAGTGGATATAAAAGAAAAACTGCCAATACTTGAAAGCCAAGGTTGGCAAAAATGCAATTAGTGAGGTACTGCTGAATGCACATTATGCCATTACAGTCCACCTCCCTTACACACACTGATACTGTCATCAGCAATACCAACACAGAGGCAACTTGCATCATTCAATACAGGGTGTTGAAATTTTATACAATCACAGTGACTAGCAACAGCCCCTTCTGAACATGGTATGAACCTTCATGTCCTCAAAAGGTGGAGACATTCTTGACTAGCTGAGTGACTCTTAGTTTCCAACCTGGGAATCTCCTCCATAAAGTTATCTTACAACAGTGCTATCAGCATCCATACTATACACAGACGAATGGCAAGACGACGGAGAGATAACCAAGTGAACACAAGTCAGGAGTGTTACTGCTCCATCAACCCAAAACTGAGTTAGTTCTGGCAGACATTTGGAAATTATGAGATTTTATTGAATTTATTCTTATAATGTTAACTTTCCATTATTACTATCACAACTCACTGCCATTACCCACACTAACTTCCAGACTGTTCTGTGGAACTGGAATAACAATTATAGACATATTTTTCCATACAGAATTTTAGGAAGTACTGAGGACAAAACATTATGTTAGCTGCAAAATGTTATGGGATATAACTCAAATACCTCTTCAAACATGTTATATCAAGAACATTACCACAGGAGCACTGTGACAACCATAATAGGTTCATCAGTGAGCTCATTAATATGGTTGGTGACAGATGTCAAGAATAGCTGCTTCCTGGTAAGATCCCCAAGAAAATAACAATTCTTCAACAATCATCACCAAGAAACAAAAAGTTCTGTCAGGATATTGAAAGAGGTAATAATGGAACTTTATCTGAATGGCAGGGCATTGTGCACCGTAAGGTTATTTCTAAGGGCGCTACAGTCAGCAAGGACATGAATAAGGACGAGCCTCCCAATCTGCAGGAAAGAATTTTCCTAAAGCATTAAGGAATGTGGGTGGCCAGATAATATGCTCTGCATGCCCATGCTTGTGAAGCAGCCATGTAAGATGCTCAGTGCCATGGCAATTCCTCACCCACCACACCCTACTGACCTCCCCAGTCCTTTACCTCTTTCCGTAGGCAAAGAGCAGCTGAATGGTTGTCACTTCAAGGATTAAATGGAGGTTCAGAAGCATTACCGCATTTCACAATGTCATGACAGCCCCTACCTGATGCACATATTTATGAGAATCATATCAGTTTGCCAGTGAAAAGTTGATATAAGCATCAACTCAGCAAGAGAGATTTCTTCCTACTAAAAAACATGCTTCGAAATAAACAACATAAATCAAGTGACCTTTAGATACCCCAGAAGAACCAATTGGGAGTCACATAAAGACAACCTAAAGGTGAATATGGAGACTATGTCAAGAAGAATATGCACAATAAGGGACACAGATCAGTCTGCTGACCAGTTGCAACAGGCAACTGTTGTATTGTCATAATTGCTCAGCCAAGGCCACTAGGTTAGATGGCACCTTGGTGAAATAAAAAGCTGAGTGGGCTAAGAGCCAAAACAAGAAGGTTATTCAATATAGCGAAAAGCACAGTGCAATGGGATACTTATAAGGAAACTTTACTTCTTATAACAAAGATATAAGAAAAGCCAAACGATCCTCATGGAGGAGGTACTGCCAGGAGATCAATGAGGTACTGGACAGTTCCAGACTTATGAGAATTATGGCAAAACAGGCGACCAATAAGTTCAGCACTATTAAGCTACCTAACAGTCAGTTTACTCAAACAGGAAAAGGTACACTGAAAGAGTTGTTCAGAGTTGAATTTTCTGATTCAAAGCTAATTGATGATTCATATAATGATGGACAGGGTCAGCTAAACCTGGGCATATGTGGACACATGATGAACAGGGGAGACTGGAACCTGGCTAAATGTGTGATCAAGCAATCAAAAATTAGATGGGTGTCAGGCATGTTCAAACTATTTATGTCTGTGGGAACAAATGGAATTGTACCGAACTCTTGCAGCAAGGGGTGGAACTTTTAGTCCCACACCTGTGCCACACATATTGAGAGCCTGCATGGTGCATGAATTTATTCCCATGGCTTGGAGGCAACTTAAAGTGACATTTATTCCAAAGCCCAGGAAACTTGACTACACCAAGATAAAGGCTTATCGTTCTATCAACCTGTGGTCTTTCCTCTTGAAAACGATGGAGAAACTAGTGGACAGGCATATTAAGCATGGTATACTGAAAATTCATCCCCTTCACCGAAACCAACGTGCTCATCCAAAAAGTAATCGAATGAAACCACACTTTGTAATATGGTAGGGCACATAGAAAATGCTATTGAACACAAGGATATTGCCCTTGGAGCATTCCTTGACATAGAGGGAGCTTTCAATAGAACCTCATTTGATACAATAAAACAGATTGCTGTAGGTACTGAGCCCATAATATGCAGATGATCTGTGCTATGCTGGAAAGCAGGAACATAATTACTACAGTGTTGGGAGAGACCCTGGGAGTGCCTGTGGCTGGGGGGCCTGGACATGGACAATCTTTGGGATCTCAATGGCAGCGGCTATTATATGGTAGGATATGCTGACAATACAGCAATCCTAATCAATGGGAAATTCCTCCAGACTGTGTCAGAGATCTTACACACAGCCCTGTGTGCAGTCCAACAGTGGTGAGAATAGAACAAAGTTGTCTATCAACCCAAATAAGATGGGAGGAAGAAGAACACATAAGGTCTCAAGGAGCCTATTATCTTCAGTAAAACAATCAGCTATCCAGTGAAGTCAAGTACCTTGGAATAACATTAAACAAGGGACTGACATGGAAAAATCAGCTGGATAAGGTTATCAAAAGGGGCTATAAGATCTTCTGGACATGCAGAGGCACATTCACAAAAACTTGGGGACTAAAACCAAAGGTGACATATTGGATGTACACTGCAACTGTAAGGTCCATAGTTACCTATGCTGCCACTATATAGCGGCCCAGAGTTAGATTCAAAACACTTGAGGCAGAACTCAGATACTGAGACATGTCTATGATAAACCATAACTGGACTCAAACAGGCAAAGGGCCCTCTGCCAGAAGAACAAATGGTCTGTTGAAGGTGATGGGTGATAGCACTATTCACAGGACACTTTCACCTTAAAGGACACCTTGACAGATGACCCCACTTGTGAAAAGTGCCTAGAAGAGGCTGAATCAGCCTCACATATCCTCTGTGGTTGTGAGGCCATAGCATATTTAAGAGTTTGTCACCTGGGCCTGTACTTCTTGGAACCAACTGACTACATATAATTTTGCATGAAGGCTTGAACATATATAAAGCTGTAGCCAGATGCATAACCAAGAGCAGGAAGACTCTCTTTTCAACATATCAGATATTGCTTACATACGATGCTGCAATTAATGATGTTTTCATTCCTGCAAATATCACCATGGAATGCAGAATTCAGTTTGGAACCCAAAAACCAATATTTTCAAGAGACGCATTCTGATGCGATGCACAAAAGAAATTCTATGTTGATGCTGGTGCAGAGAAAATGCTGATAAGATTTCTGGAATGATGACAGTATCTCACATATGCATTCCTAAGGACACTGTGGTTAAAGGAAATAGCTACTGAGAATGCTGACACACCATGAATCGATAAGTTTTGCTTTTGCTATGACAATTATGAACATAACTGGCGGTTCAGTGGCAACACTAATGATAATATTTTGGAGACACCCAGTCTGAATCTTGTCTGAAATACTGGCTATACTGACTTCGGTATTTTGTGATCTTTGAAAGTACCTCTAGGTTAATGTCACGATCAGAGCCTGAAATAGGCAAAACAGTTTCTCTCACATTTCTTGTAATTTATCATTCATAATCATTCTCACACTTCATATGAGAGGTCACATCTTCACAGAGTCAAAAATTTAAACCCACTCATCTCATTCAGTGCTGCACAATCCTTTAGATGATATATCTTCTAAAACTAAACAACTAGCTTATAAACACAGTTACTGAACTAAACGACCACAGTAAAATGAAGCAAGTATCCAGCTACCAGAACATCATACAAGTACAAATTAAATTAAATTCTTTTTAAATTCACTTAGTGGGGTGTGGAGTCCAACTGGGTCCACTTGGAACGGTGGCCACTGATTGGCCTATTCTAGTGTGCCCCGGGCAATTATGATGATGGAGAATTTGATGGAGTGAAGACTGGAAGGTGAAACTGAAGTACTCAGAGAAAATCCACCCCAGTGCCACTTTCTCCACCACATATCCCACTTGACAAGACCCGGGATCAAACCCGGGCTACCGCAGTGGGAAGCCAGCGACTAACCGCTTGAGCTATGGCACAGCCTATCATACAAGTAAAGTCAAATATGACACTGCCTGAGCGCTATATCATAAAGGCATATTATAGAAGTGACAGTAAAGCTCTACACTTCTTAACCTTGGTATTGAACAGAAGAACTGGTCACTTTTCACATTCAGGCTATTTTATCTATGGGGTAAAGAGTCTGTTTACTCAACTGCTAGGGGGATGGGTGGACTCCACAACTAGTCTGAACACAGTCATAAAGAGAAAAACCCTGTCCCTGCTGGAAACTGAATACTGGCCATCCAGCCTGTAGTTAGTTTAGAGACTGAGCTATTCTGGTTCATATAAAAACACCACTCACCATTATTTCTGCCATTTGGAAGAATTTGCTGTGCAAACATCTTCCAGTTACCCTATCCACTTACCTTAAGGATCTTTCCTCTGTAAGCAGACAATTCTCCCAGTTTCTTCAACTTGATCTCATATGATTGCCCCTGATTTAAGTAAGTAAGTGTTTCTTCATTCACTTTTGTGGCAATAGAAGTGGCTGCTGCAAGGACATACTGGAATCTGAAAAGTTTTGACAAAATACATATAATCCTACTACACCATATTTGCAGGATAAATCTGAGACTCATCCATCTTTTGTAATGTAAAATTATGTAAGAAAATGATCCTACAGGCCATATTTTGTCTGTCATGTTATGTGCATGATCTTAGTTATTTAGAATCCGGACGATGGACAAAGTCCAAAAACCCAGTATCTCTGTCTGCTACAAAAGTTTCACAAAATCAAATGCTTTGTGCAATGTAGTGGCCAATTAGAGCTGTCATATTACAACAAGGCCAAAATGTACTTTTAAAATGTAGCTTATTAAACAATCATAAGAGCTAAAATAATTTTCATTCGAAGTGCACACAACTTATATACTAATAGGTTATATGAATTAATTCATTATCTGAGTGGACTGTACTGAAATGAAAGCTGGAAGAGAGGGAGGAGGAATTAAAATATTCTCCTCCAGATACCTGTGGACACACTGCTCCAGACGTTTGTACCTATTATACACATTCCTCATGTGCTGAAGTAATTATTCAACTTATAAAATGCCATACACAGTAGAGAATTTGATAAATTGAAACAATGCAAATGGAAAAAGAGAAAACCTAGTTTGTTCTAAGGTTACCTTCAACAGGGGCTCACAAATGTTGAGATATGTCTATCTACACTGCTGTAATACTGCCATATCAACTTACTTACCATCACATAACACACAAGACATTAGAACGGACCTACTATCCCTTACATTAGAAAATGTGTACATGTGATCTCTTTTACTGTTCAAAAGTTCAACATTGTGGAGGAAGAGAGAGAGAGAGAGTGTGTGTGTGTGTGTGTGTGTGTGTGTTAAAAAAGGCGGCCCACTTGTCGATCTTAATTTTCCATTTCTCACAATAAAGATGACAAGCATCTTCACATCTTCACTATGCTTTTGATCAGGCCGTGCCATAGCTCAAGCGGTTAGTCACTGGCTTTCCACCGCGGCGGCCCGGGTTCGATCCCGGCTCTTGTCAAGTGGGATTTGTGGTGGACAAAGTGGCACTGGGGCAGGTTTTCTCTGAGTACTTCGGTTTCCCCTGCCAATCTTCATTCCACCAATTGCTACACAATCACCCTCATCTATCATCTGGGGCTGGTACAATAGGCCAGAAGTGGCCACAGTGCAAGGGACTTAGTCCCACCCCACTAGCAATAAAAAAAATGCTCTGATCATCAATCATCATGACCAAACACATAATTTTCAACACCTAAACGCTAACCCCAATAATATCTCATATTCATTGTTTCCTGTTTGGTCTATGCTATGTTAGGTTTAAGCAAAACTGGAAGGGTTGGTGAAGAGTACCATCTTCTGGGATGTGGAACCTCATAGTTTGGTAGACAGATACTGTCACATGTATGAGTGACTCTTGGACTGGATCCTGGATATACTGACCACTTATTCATTGTAACTACATGTAACTATAAGAGTCTCACCGAATTATACATTCCCAAATATCACTGTAACTACATCATACAAGAAGTCCTCTCAGTCGTCACTAGATGTTTCCTGGTAACAGCTTTTAACACTTTCTGCTTATGTCCTTACTGTCTGGCAAACACCCCACAACTGAATTAAGCTTTAAACTTGTTCCACTGATGACCCTCAGCATAGACCACATAGAAAACACAGCTCTTTTACTGTTACAGTTCAACCGTGGCTGCATAGGTGTGTTTACCGTGTAACTGTGCAGCAATGGTCGTGGTGCAGACTACAGGAAACACCACTTCAAACAGTTCCTCTGTTGTTGCGTGTTGATTTGCTGCTGTGGGAACCTGCTTGTTTGCAATCGTTACCTAGTAACAGATCTACACGCTACAACATCAACATTTAAGAGTTAACTGTTGCCAAGTTTTTAATTGTTGACAGTGTTTTATATAAATTTTTAAGTGTGTTTATGATCTACAGGCTTATCAGATTTCACTTGCCTAACTCCAGTGACTCACTTGTTACTGCCATCAAACCAAAAGCTATATCTAGATTTCGTGCAGCTGCCACATTGTTTTATATTCTTTATATATATATATAAAAAAGTAATAAAAGTTTAATACAATAACATACAGCGTTTCAAAACCCTATATTAAGTGACACTCGTGTTGCTTCCCTCACACAAGTTCATGCACCTGCCATGTTCGTATCTGTGAAGTTTTCCCTGTACTTAACTAATTAAGCATTATGCCGTTAAGACACATGGGGGAGTGGATGTATAGATACACATTTTGTTGACCTTGGTACTAGTTGGAAGTGAGTAGTCAGCTTCATGCCCCCTCCACTTTGCCCTTGAGGAAAAAGCCACCCTCACCCATTGGATAGGAGGATGGGTCAGTCCCAGAGGCCATTTGGACAAGAAAAAAAATGTACCCTACCAGGACACAAACTCCAACCCCTCGGTTGCCCAGCCAGTAGCCAGTCACTATGCCAACTGTACCATCCTGGCTTTTATGTTCATATCAGTAGCTGCACAAAATTAAAAAGTATGGCGCTGGTATGGCTTCTAAGGGTATAAAATGAAAATCAGTCAACTGGTTCAGAAGTTTAAGAGGGAAATTCAGAGAAGAACACAAAAGGTAAATGCAGGTGGGATGGATTGTGGGTACTCATGCATGCACACACACCACAGTAATCTCTGAAGCTCCTTTACGTAAGGAAAGAAAGCAGGTTAGAATTATTTAGCATTTTTTTTCAGAAGGGGAAAGGATAACAGCTTCTGTTTTTATGTTCTTTGTTTCATTTACCTGCAATCCACACCCAAATCCTGTTGAGCAGAGGAGCCATTCAAGAGTGAGGATGTGGTTGTAACCAAGCCAGTATTGCGTGGCTGGAAATTCTCAACATGACTTAGAACTGGATGAGTATTTGTAGTGCTTCCAACTATGGCCTGGTTCACTGATCCTGAACAATTTGGAGCAAAGTAAAACATTTCTACAGTCAAGAAGTCTTAGAAAGAAGAAGTTATACAGAGTGTTGCAGGTTCTAGAACAGAAGTTTCATTTTCTGTAGTTTACTTTATGGCCTCATGTCTATCAGAATTTTATTCTTTCATCCAAATAATTCCATTTTTACGTACATTTACATTTTTAGTAAGGAATAGCTTTATCTGGAATTAGACAGCTTATAACAAATGTGATTCTTGTGTTAATATTTTCAATTTCAAATTGATTTGAATGATTGTTCTCTAGTATACTCTTGCTTATTCATACTGACATATAAGACAGAAAACACAAATAATCCAAAATTATTTTAGTTTCATTTTGGACACATGCTGCCACAAAAGCTACTCATCAAGTACCCTGAACATAATGTTAACAACTATAAGTAAAGCAGCAGAACAATAATGTATCATGGAGGAAAGGTTCACTCCCCTCCTCCCTTTCCAACATGCCACAGCTCCTCCAGAGCATGAAAGGAATTCCCCCCCCCCCAAAAAAAACAGATATGTGGAAACACATAATGAAAAGGGTCAGAAAGAAATGAATGTCTGGCACCTGTATATACAACACTGTTCAGTTATACTCACTTAATACCATAAATAATTAAAAACAAAAGAACACAGGCAAAAAGGCTGTAAACAAAATCATTTATTGGCAGACATTTAGAAGTACTTTGTTAAAAAGAAAACTGACAAAAGACTGCTACATGGTATTTCAGATCAGATGTAAGATGCATATATTGTGCCTGTTTTATAGAATACCTAAATTACAACACTATTCCTCTAAGTATATGGAAGATGAAGAACCTGGGATTGAAAAAAACCATACCAGAATAGTCAAGCTTGAGTTTTTGAGTCACAGAATATCTAACTTTGAGCAGAAAAGAGTGTGTTTATATAAAGTTTAGAAATTACTGCTTGAAGTACATGGGAAATGAGAACCCTGAGTATGAGATAAAAACATACCACAGGAGTCCAGCTGGAGATGCTGAGTTGGTGAACTGGACAGAACAGTTGTAGACACATTACTGCTGAAAGCATTAGTGCTGTGTTGTAACAACTGGTGAAGTGGAGAACTGCCTCCACTGCTGCTGCTCTTGCTGACAGGAACGTTCTTGGAGCTACTGTTGTTGGTATGGGTGTTGGAATCTGCCTCACCCACACCAGGGTTTGGAGAGGCTTGTTGCAACCTGAAAAACAGACAGGTCACTTCCTTGCTTACACAGAACTGATCAGAAGCAGACTTTATGCAACTTGCAGTAATTGCCAGGATGAATGATTCAAGTGAACACTATAATAAGTGAACCTGTGTCTCTTCTTCATTTATCCTCAGTATTACTGTGTAATCACAAATTACACCATGTAAAAGTATTAAAACTGCAGCCAAATTATTATTTAGAAGGCTTTCGAAATCCTAGTGCCCGATACACATTAGGTATGTGCTGTAAAAGTTGTCCCTGTGGTTAACTAATTAAGCACTATGCCATGAAGGCATATGGGTGGGGGGGGGGGTGGGGGGTGGATGTGTAGATCCACATTTTCTTGACCACGGCACTAGATGGAGGTGAGTGGTCATCTTCGTGACCTGGCCGCTCTAACCCCTGGGAAAGAACCACCAGTACCCATTGGATAGGAGGTTGGGTGGACCTCAGAGCCGGTCTGGACAATGTGCAGAAGAGAAAATTCCTGACCCTACTGGGACTTGAACTCCGGTCATCAAGCCTGTAGTCAGTAGCCAGTCACTACACTGACTATGCTATCCCAGCTCCTACGTATATACTGTACTAAATGTAATTACAAAAGATATGTTTTGTGATGAAAGAGAACATTTATGTTGTTTTAATCATATTACAATCCAATATCTGCTATACTTAAATGTATGACACGTGTTACATATGGAAGAAATGGCAGTTAATATATACTGAAGTTTAACCTGGATTCACATTTCAACAAAATCTGACCATTTAACCCTAAAATCTAATTTGTGACCTTGCATCCTAAGGAGAAACAAGAAGAACAGTCATATCTGTCTATCTTTTTTTTTTCTCTCTTTTTCAAATGTAGTACCTACATATTGCTTAGGATTGTAAAATGTATCCTTGTAACTTTGTAGGTTTGTTTGTTAAGTTGTACTCCTGCATAAATCAATCAATTAATCAATCAATATAGTTTGTAGTATGCTTGTAACTATGTAGATTTATTTTGTTAACTTATATTACTGAATGATGTGTCCAAATGTTACTATGTAGCAAAACGGATGAAAGTAAAAAAATACAAATCTTCCCTGCCTATAGTATCCTGAGAACAATGATAGCAATGTTTACAAAATATCTGATATCACACCATTAAAACCTCCTTTTGTCTGTCATATTACCTACATAAATTACACTGCAAATAATATACATCTCAAATTAAAGGAAGTTATATGTTTAAAATACCTATTTCTTCTGGACCTGAAATGTTAAACCTCTATTACAATATTAAAACTGGACTGGCATATGCCCAACATAATTAAACAAGGTATGTTATCAAAAATTAAAATAATAATAGAGTATTTTGGAGAACTTGTGGAAGAGGAAGAGATCAGTGGACAGATACAAACTTTCCATTACTGATAAGGGCCCATTTTATGCAAAAGAACACACAATGATACACAGTTTAAGAATGTGTGGGGCTGAACTCTTATCACATATTGCAGAATGTCTGTAATGCAAGATCATGTATTCTGTAGCATGTGCAAGAAAAATATGGAACTATATGTGGCCTTTATGGCAGGTGGATCCCACACACTGTAGGCACACAGGATTAACAAACACAGCAACACTGTCAAACTAACTTTCATGTAGAACTACATTAGCTTTAAAATGACTCCACATTTGTAATATTTTAGACACTTAACTAAGTGTTCAGCTTTTGCTGTCAGGTCACAATGACCCTCCTGTGTGAATTAACACCTGTATTTTTCATTATTTCCATGTTGTTACACCTGATACATTTTGATGAGTTATAAATACCCACTTACATTGCCCACAGCAAATTACGGATTAACTTAACTAAAATGTATGAAAAATAAGGTAAACCTACTGACCTAATATTGAATGAGTCATTTTCAGTGATGAACTGGAAGGGACTTGCAGGGACACGTATGAGCCTCTTGACAAATTTTGGGCTAAAAATGAACACAAAGAAACAAATCATCTACTGTGTTACAGCTGTCACACTTAATATCTGTTACCTCAGTTTCAATATATAAGGCTATATTTAGCAGAAACAAGACTGTAGTAAATATTACAATCAATAATTTAAAAATGTATGCAACATTAAATATAACACATTAGTAAAACAGGAGGTGGGATAGCACAGTTGGTATAGCAACTGGTTACAGGTGGGATAACCAAGGGGTTAGAGTTCGAGTCGCAGTAGGGGTATGAATGTTCTCCACATCCTCCAGACCGGCTCTGGGGCCCATCAAGCCTCCCAGCCAATGGCTACCAGGGGTAAAGCGGCCGAAGCGGGAAGCTGACCACTCATCTCCAACTAGCGCCAAGGTCAAGACATCAGCAATATATACATCAATTCCACCATTTTTTAATTCGCTTAGTGGGGGGTGGAGTCCAAATGGGTTCACTCGGCACGGCGGCCACTGATTGGACTATTGTATCTGCCCCGGGTGATTATGATAATGGAGAATTTGATGGAATGAAGACTGGCAGGGGAAACCAAAGTACTCTGAGAAAACCCGCCCCAGCGCCACTTTGTCCAGCACAAATCCCACTTGACCAGACCCCGGAATCGAACCCAGGCCATCGCAGTTGGAAGCCAGCAACTTCATAGTGTAGTGCTAAATTAGTTAAGTACATGGACAACTTTACCTTTTGTATTGGTAAAACAGAAAGAAGTCCAACATGACACTTATCTCCCAGTAGACAAAAGCAGTCTGAAGGAAGCTGTTAGTGTGTCTTGTTTCAGTGATTAAAAAGTGAGAATTGGAGCTTCATTGCACCTTTTAAGATCCATTTTAAGACAGCTTCTCAGCACTTTAAATACTAAATGCTTTATATGGCTTAACACTTGTAAAATGGCAAATTTAGGACTGCAGGTGATATTATGCAGCAAGATTCCTTGGGCTGAGATGGCCAATCTGAATGAAGGGGACATATATTTTCACAACATTTCCAGTATTGCAGAACATATACCATTAAATGGTAGAATCTGTCTATCTATTTATTCCTGTTGCTCCCACTTGAAGCATAGGGCATCTGTGAAATACTTTGCTTCACTTCATGCCCTATCCATCTCATCCTCCTTGACTTGATCATTCTAATTATACTTGGAGAAGCATACAAGTTATGAAGCTCTTCATTATGCAGTTTTCTCCAACCTCCTGTTGCTTCATCTCTCTGCGGTCTAAATACTCTCCTCAACACCCTGTTCTCAAACACCCTCAGTCTATGTTCCTCTCCTCATGCCAGAGACCAAGCTCCACACCCATACAGAACCACAGGCAAAATTATAGTTTTGTATATTCTAATTTTTATATTTTTGGTTAGCAGACAAGAAGACAAAAGGTTCTGGACTAAATGGTAGCAAGCATTACCCAAGCTCATTATCCTCTTAATTTCCTCCTGAATCAAATTCTGATTTGTTACTGTCATTCCCAAATATCGGAACTGTACCACATGTTCAAAACATCTGTTTTCTGGAAGAACTTATTCAAGCAGGAGGCGAAATATTACGTTCTAAGATATGTAAGCTAATTAATTATATTTGGAATAAGGAAAAATTTCCTGATCAGTGGAAGGAGTCTATTATTGTACCAGTTCACAAGAAGGGTGATAAAACTGACTGTAGTATTTATCAGGGGATATCCCTGCTATCAACTTCATACAAAATTTTATCCACTATTCTTCTCTCAACGTCAAGTCCATACATAGATGAAATTATCAGGGATCATCAGTGTGGGTTTTGATGTAACAGACCAACTACTGATCAGATCTTTTACATTCATCAGATACTAGAGAAAAATGGGAATACAATGAGACAGTATATCAGCTATTTGTAGACTTCAAGAAAGCCTATGATTAGGTTATGAGGGAAGTATTGTACAATATTCTGATAGAGTTTGGGGTACCCACGAAACTAGTTAGGTTGATTAAAATGTTTTTAAAAGAAATGTATGGTAATGTCTGTATATGTGAACACTTGTCTCATTATTTCCATATCCAGAATGGTCTAAAACAAGGAGATGCTTTATCACCAATCATTTTCAACTTTGCATTAGAATATGCCATTAGGAAGGTCCAGAAAAACCAGGAAGGACTGAAATTGAATGGGAAATATCAGCTGTTGGTGTATGCTGGTGATGTGAATATACTGGGTGATAATATAGATACCATAAAGAAGAAGAAAAAAGGAGAAACTTTAATTGATGGAAGTAAGGAGGTTGGAGTAGAAGTAAACATTTCTGAATGACACTAAGAAATCAAAGGCACATTCAATGTGGGGAATGACTCCTGCCATTCAGGATAGAATCTTTTGACTTCCAGTCTGTTATCTGAAAACATAAAGTTTAAAATAAAATAATATTTTTTCATGTTGTTTTGTATGGGTGTGAAACTTGGTCTCACGCACTAAGTGAAGGACATAGATTGAGGGTGCCTGAGAACAAGACACTGAGTACAATAATGGACCTATGAAGGAGAAGTGACAGAAGACTGGAGAAATTTGCATAATGAGGCAATTTGCTGTTCATAATATTCACAAAATATCATTAAGCCAATCAAATCAGGATGGATGAGACGGATGGAACCATAACAGCTGAGAAATGCATACAAAATTTCACCTGCAAAGTCTAGGGGGAACGGCCCACTTGTAAGAGACAGTCTTGGATAGATGTTAATATTAAAATAGATTCTCAGAGTGAAGGGTGAGAGGGTATAAACTGAATTCATCTGGCTTCAGATAGGGGCCAGTGGTGGATTTTTGTGAACCTGTCACTGAACCCTTGGATTCCACAGAATGCTGGGGATAAGTATCTCCTTCTCAAGAAGGACTTTGCTCCATGGCATTTAATTAGTTACTTGTATTATATAAAATATATATTTTCAGAGTTCATAATTTTACATATAATTAAAGTGAGCCAAAGCAAACATGGCATTTAAATCTGTTAATACTTCAGTTTTCAGGGTTTAGTCACATGGTATGTAGAATCTGCTTAAATGTCTTTGTATATACTGCAGTTGCTTTCAACATTGCAACTATAATGTAGGCCGAAAACTGGAACCTCTTTAACACAGATCATAGCTAACTATGAAAGCCAAAGACACATGCTAGACACAAGATATGGAAACCTACTGATAACAACAGTTTACTTAAATTAGCATGACTGATCCCTTCTTGTGTCTTACATAGGATGGCATAGAAAAATTAACTGCTCTCTGCTGCACTTAAAAAAAAAAAATGTTAAGGTATCCCTGTAAGAGGCTGTGGAGGCCCATTATGGTTGTGAGATGTTGAGGTTCCCACATTTTCTAGACAATTGGCTCATAGATGGCGGCAAGGTTGTCAGCCCTATGTGCCAGCTGCCCTTTACCCCAAAGAATATTCCAAGATTATTCCAGGTACTCACTTCTGTTAGAGGCTGAGCCCACCCCAGGGCCATAGTGCGGCTGGAAGGATTAGGGAAATTGAAAAAAATCCAATTACCTCATCGGGACTTGAACCTGCAACCTTCTGGCTTTTGGCATAGTGCCTCAAGCAACTACACTACAGTGCACTATTTTTAAATGCTGTGCATAAGAGGCACATAAATTATCTGGTCTAATTAAAATCAGTTTAGTGAATTTAAACTGTAAAGTAAAGTGTTAAGCAAAAATGTGTGTCAAGTATTGCACAACATATTATTCTGACTATATGAAGTTCCTATTTACTGCAACAGTAGAAGGAAGATGGAAAATCTCCATTTTGAAACAAATAATCTTATAATTTCTCTGTTACATGTCCATTAATATATATTTCCATTCTCTGACTAAAAAACACATGCCCTCTGACTCAACATTTACTAAATGTGTCAACTGTGTGCCTCTTACATTACGTTATATTACATTGCACTGCATTACAGTTTAATGTTCGTAATGAAGACATTCACTCACGTCACAGACAGAACCCATTCTACCAAACAACTTTGCTTTAATATTAGGAAATACAGAAATTGGCTAAAACCTGAAAAGAAATTAATGTGTCTGACCAAACACAACTAAAAACTGGTGCATCCAATTTGCCTATAGAGGTAACATGAGAGCCTGGTGGGTTATGGTGCAGGACAGTAATGCATGATAACTAATCTACTGAAGCACAATCCAACCTGTAAATAACCAGTTTCTGCCAGATCAAACTGGTTACAACAGCTCTGAACTTGCAGAGTCCATGCAGCCAATAACTTTGTGGTTTATGGTTAAATGGTCTTGGGAAACCTTGGTTACACTTCTCCACTGTGAACACTGCTGAATTCATTACTTCCAGTTTATAACTGATTATGTGCAACATTATGGTTTTCATTGTCATACTTTTATTAAGATGATGATATATGGACTGCAGGGGACCAGGATAACCCAACTGGTATAGGCTATAAGATACAGGACATACAAGTAGGGAATATGGGTTCAGTTCCTGACAGGAGCGGTGAGGAGGAGGGAGGATGACACAATGGCAATGCATATGGCTCACATCTAGGTAGTGTCCAGTTCAAGCCCTGGTTATGGATTGGTCTTGTCAGTCCCTTCAGATAAATGTTGATATAGGCCACACCTATGCAATTTTATTTTGGAGTAAGAACTTGTTGCTTAAGTACAGATTAGAACTGAATTAAATTTGTTGGCTATATTCTCAAAGTTTCCCTATCATGCCTGTAATTATTTACATACATAATCTGTATAAATGTTTACAATTTATCTTCATACCATAGTTCATATTTCTAGCTTCAACGAATGATCAATTAGTTTATGCTGTACAAATGAAAGCGGAATGAAAGTTTTCACATAGGCCCAATGTTTTTACATTTTACAAGAAGTTATCTTGAGAAAAGTCGAATATTTTTCAAAAATCTATCATCACACATTGTCTTGTGGCTCTGCAATAACAGAATATTGCTCCCACCTTATAAGTCTGTATGTCCACGAAGCTTTTGCTACATGCTGTAGGGAAGTAAATAATACAAGATTGGAGTGGACTAAAACAACATAAATATTAGGAAAATCAGTCAAGTTGTACAAAAGGTTGAACTGCTGGTACATATACATAGACAATATTCAAAGTGCAATGTGATTACAAACAGCTATCTCAGTGGTATATATTCTATTCTTCTCTCCTGCTTTAGGCAAACCAAATTGAGTGAATATGTCCCCCCACCAGTTTAGTTTCCTTCATAAAATCTGTGGCGGGGCACAGTGTATTACCCAAAATAAGGAGACACATGAGAAGTGCTAACTTAAGTGTTTGGGTTAGTAGTGAATCCAATCTAGACAAGAGACATCAACACCAATAACCCATTAGCAAGCGTGAGATGATCAAAGTTGAAATACAGAAATATTATTTGTTAGGTAGACTTTAATTATTACAAAATCCCTCATTCCTTATACAGTTTCTGTTCCTGGGATTGTGCCTACCAAGAAAACCCACATTAAGCTCAAAAATATTCAACTACTCACTATAAGTGAGTTAACAAGAGATAGGTGGCATGTATAAAGAATTCTGAGAGAAAGGGTAAGTGAATGTTGTCAGCTAGGTAGCAGATGAGAATAAGTAAACTTCAAAGTATATACATCTACAATCTCTTAAAAAATTCAATTCATAAAAACATATGCTTAATCCCACTGAATCCAAAATGTTTTAACTCTCATACTGCAAGCCTATTTAAAAATTCTGTAACACTTACAAGAGTGACATTAGAAGTCCAAAGAAGTCAAATATTCATCACAACTCTTGACATCTCACAAGTTACAAGTAACAGATAACCAGCTTCTAAGTATTGGTCAGGTAAGATCAGGTCATTACAGGCAATAGCTGCTTCCTACTTTATTTAACAATTTCTCAATTCTCAATCAACCCCCCACATTGAAATGGGCACTACCAAATCAGTGCTCACCACTGCATCTCCATTGCCCATTGGTTAGTTACTGAGCATCATATTGGAGGGTGAATGTGAATTAGGGATTGGGAAGGGTATAGAAGAACATACTTGTAGCCAACAGCCTCCATAGTCTAGAGGTAACGTTCCCACCTCATGACTCGTGGTACGCGGGTTCAAATACCCAGCAGAGGTCGTCGAATTTTTAAGGGCGGAAAAATTCAGGGAACAAGTCCTCCGGGAGGGACTTATAGCTGTGTGTCCCGTGTCGTAACTTTATGGCACATAAAAGAACCTCATATCCCCAAAGGGGATCACTGAGCCAAATTCCAGGACGTTTCCCGCCCAACAATAGCCTCTAAGGCCTCCGACAGATGGGGGAAGCATTACAGACACCGCTAAGCAAGTGGCCGAACTCGCTTGCTCGACGGGACTGATGGTACGCACCATTTATCGGTAGGGTGAAGAGACTGCTTCATAGAGGGAAGCACAATAGATCAAAACTGGTCGCGGTGCATGGGGAAACCCACCCTCTCTAACTAACTAACTAACTAACTAACTAACTACTTGTAGACAATTTTAAGCTATGATATAGACATACGCTTGGAGTGGCTGAGAATAACCGTGAAACTCCTTTGTTGGGAGAGCTTGTGATCCATGTAGTGCCACTACTCAACTAGGAAAGGTAAATATGAGACTGAACATGTGTGACTATTACATAAAACCTGCAAACACCTCTTACAATGCATGTAAGTATTTAATATTTGGCTTATGACTGTGGAGAGAACAATGGTGAATCAAGATAAAATCTGTCACCAGAATAAAGCCTGCATTCCTCTCACAGTTCAGTAAACATGTGAAAGACAGCAGATGGAGATCATTTGAAAGCCTATCACAAACTATTCGGTTGCTGAAGAGCCACCCACTACTTGTGTCAGCTTGGCCCATGCCCATCTTGACCTGTGCCATGGTCAATAAACCAATGGCCTACACCCATTACAAATAAAATCACACCAAATACTTAAAATGCTACCTGCTGTTTGACACACATTCCTGGAATATTCATAAAACATTTCAAATCAAGTGAAGTTCTTCATGGGAAATAAGTAGGCCAGTCAAAAAGTTCCGGAATTCCTCTGCAGATGGAGAACAAGCGATAAGATATCGCGCGCACACACTGTTGTGGTAGGAAGCTCAGCATGTATGCTCGCAGGCGCAACAGGTCTGGACAGGTTTCAGTGTGCAGTGTCGTTATTGTTCATTTGAATTAGACGTGTGTTGGTCATTCGGTGCAATGTCGCAGTTCGAACAGCGTGCAAACATCATGTTCATGTGCAAATTGGGAAAATCTGCTTCAGAGACGCTATCGGCCCTGCAGCAAGTTTACGGTGATACTGCACTAAAGAAATCCACAGTTTACGACTGGTTTTCCCGGTTTAAGAAAGAGCAGGAGACGTTAAAGGATGACCAGCGCAGCGGGAGACCTTCGATATCCAGAACCGAAGAAAGGATTGGAAAAGTGCGACAACTGATTTGATGTGATCGAAGAATGGCCATCGGATTGCAGTTCGGAGGAAGTGGCGCGACAAGTGGCAGGGACAGTGGTTTCTGCATCACGATAACGCAGCGAGCCACACATAGCTTGTTGTGCAGCAATTCCTCGCCGAGAAAAACATTCCTGTCATCACTCAACCACCGTCCTCTCCGGATCTCGCTCCGAGTGACTTTTGGCTGTTCCCTACTCTGAAAATAGGCCTCAAGGGGACACGTTTCACAACCATGGAGGACATCAAATCAAATGCGACGGCCGAGCTCCGGAAGATTCCAAAAGAAGCCTTCCACCGCTGCTTCCAACAATGGCAGGATCGATGGAGCAAGTGTGTATGTGCGCGCAAGTTTCTTACTTTGAAGGTGATTTAGGTAAGCGTTGCCGTATGTCCTATCATTAGAGTGCTATACCACCATTTCGGGAACTTTCTGACTGACCTTCGTATAATCTGAGCAATTGACAGTGACATGAAATAAACCAAAAATCAATAAATAAAACAACTGCAAGTACCTGAAGATAAAAAAGAAAGGTATTGACAGGACAAAGATGAAAAACAAGAGGAGTTACATAACAAGGAGTTAATAGCATAAGAGTAATAAAATTGAAGAGGTTATGCTGGGCTGGACAAGTAGCATGGCATAAAATGCACACATAATTTTGGTGAGGAACTCTCGTTGCAAGTAGTCATATAGATGACTGAAAGATGTGACAATAACATTACAATGGATCTTACCACGACTGTTAGTGTGGAAAGAATACGGAACTCGATCCAAGTAGAATCCACAGGTGGACTTTTGGTTTTAATAATGTTCAACCTCTGGATTCTACTACCAGACAGTTGGCTAATGTTTCGGTCATTCAACTGGATGAATCATTCAGTATTTTGTAATACTGAGAAATATTAGATCAGGAAACAAGCATTTTCCAGACCCTTATATGACATTTGTATTATAAGAACTTACCCAGCATCGTTTTGTGATGATGGTGATGGGGCCTCCTGTTTGAACACAGTTAGAGATGGCAGTGCAAGAAGGGCCTCACTGGAACAATAGGCAAACCACTCATGTGAGATTTACTGTACCTCTACAGGTGTAGTAACAGAGTATTTAGGTAAACCTATAGTACTAAGTACTCTGCTCATATTACAAGATGTTCAACATCCTTAGCATTCTACCACTGAGGATCTATGGAATGTTCATGCATTCTATTCTGCTGTATTTTATTCTATTCTATTAACTGAGAATTTTACGTGATGTCAGGAGCCAGGATAGCGCAGTCAGTATAAAGACTGGCTCCTGGCTGGACAACTAACGTTTCGGAGTTCGAGTCCCGAGTCCCAGTAGGGTAAAGAATTTTCTCTTCTCCACATTGTCCAGACCGGCTGTGGGGCCCATCCAGCCTCCTATCCAATAGGTACTGGGGGCTCTTTTCCCCGGGGTTAAAGCGGCAGGGGTGTGAAGCTGACCACTCACCTAGAGCTAGTGCCGAGGTCAAGAAAATGTGGATTTATACATCCACTTCCCCATATATATTCGTGGCGTAGTGCTTCATTAGTTAAGAATATGGACAACTTTACTTTTACAATACACACATCAAAATTTAAATTGATGTAATATCAGTTAAAATGCCCTAATCCTTCCAGCCGCACTATAGCCCTGGGGTCGACTCAGCCTCTAACAGAAATGAGTGCCAGGAATTAATTAAATAATTTTCCTGAGGAGTAAAGCACGGCTGGCACGTAAGGCTGACAACATTACCGCCATCTTTGAGCCGATTGTCTAGGTAATGTGGGACCTTCAACGTCTCACAGCCCTATGGGCCTTCACGGCCTTTTACAGGGATAGCTTTACTTACTTACTTACTCTATCAGTTAAAATGAATGCTCTCCAATTTCTAGCACGGAGGTCACGAGAAGATCATTCCATTCTCCAAAATATGTTAACAAATTCCACCTATTTAAAAAAAGGTGCAAAATCTTGCTAAAACTATTTTATGGAAAGTGTTTATTAAACATTTTATGCAATTTTTTAGTTCATTTCATCTGACATCTAATAATACTGGCATAATGAAAAAATGTATATGTATAAAACAGACCGAAAGTTGGTAGCTAAGATACTATACAGCCCCTCAGTGGTTTGAGGTTGAACAACCCTGTAATAAATTAATTTTTCCTGATTTTTAATGAAACGGCCATGCCAAATATACAGAATATTTCATTTAAAATGAGAGTGACTGATACAGAAATAAAGGTTATTATATACGAAGCTTATGATCTCTTTCTAGTAGAGTCTGGGAGGTTAATCAACAAGGTTATGTTAGGCAACATATACAGCTCAGCAGGAACCAACAAATGTATGCAGAAGTTTGTGTGCGAAGACTTCTCTAGAACCTGAGAAGGCGATGTGACATTAACACTCATGAACAAAAATAAGCTGTGATAATGTGTACTGTACGAACATGTAAAAGTAAGTAAAGGTATCCCTGTAATAGGCCGTGGAGGCCCATAGGGTTTCTAAACCCAGAGGGTTTGGTTTATTAAGTATCGTAACGACAGCGCTGTGCAGATTTACCGACTCCTTCAAGGCAAATTCTTGAGGCATTCCCAGTTCTCACAACTCACCAAAATTCATGCTAAATTCTCCCACCTCACCTAAGAATCTCATCATATTCGGTCAACCTGTCAATTGTATCAGCTTATTACTTCCAAACCTTACTGCAAGGCGCCACAGTGTTCTACCAGGGGTCAGAAATAGAATATTTCGACATGGCTTTGAATCTGTACCTGGAGGGAAACCGAAGAAGTCGGAGAAAACCTGGCCCACGGCCATTTTGTCCACCATAAATCTCACATAACATGACCTGAATACAACCCGAGCTGTCACGGTGGGAAGCCGACGACTAATCGCCTGATTGCTAAGGACAGCAAAACACCGCGAAGGCCGTCCTCCATTCTCTCACATTGTGTCCCGTGGCAATAGCAGAGCCTACATACATAACAGTTTATATCTAATCCGACCGCCTCTGTGGTATATTGGTCGGAGTTCCTGACTACAGATCCAGAGGTCCCGGGTTCGATTCCCGAAGCTACCAGATTTTCTGAGAAGTAGTGGGTCTGGAACGGGATCCACTCAGTCTCGTGAAGATAAGTGAGTAGCTATTTGAAGGAAATAGCAGCTCCGGTCTAGAAAAACGAAATTAACGGCCGTGGGGATCCGTTGCGCTGACCACGCGACACCCTCTATCCGCAAAAGTTGGCACTAACTTCGCCGACAAGCGGCGGTCGCTCGGTCGGTATAGTTCGCTCGCGGACTACAGGCCACGGAGTTTGTTTTTATATCTAATTTAGTCCACAACTTTAATCTCAAGAGCCTCAAAAGCATTCGCTATGAAAAGCTGCAAAAGTGAGCCCGTAAGATTCACCGTATCTGCCCGTGTGACCGCAAGTAAAAGAACGCGAGAACGGCTGACAGGATTTTCAGGAAATATAATACTGCGGGGGTTTCCTACTTAGGCTAAAGACGTACAACAGTATGAGGCAAATGTTTCGAATAAAAGCTGAGAAGAAAAAGTACGCACACGTTTACGTTTACGTTTTATCCACACAGTGCGCAAGTGTTATGGTTTTCGAGGTAAAATGACTCACAAGGGAGAGAACGCGTCGAACTGTTATGCTTTGCGCAGATTTCAGAACTTGTTCGACACGGTGTATACTTTTTTTTTAATTCGCTTATTNGGGGGGTGGAGTCCAGCTGGGTTCACTCGGCCCAGCGCCCACTGATTGCCTATTGTACCTGCCCCGGGTGATTATGATGGAGAATTTGGTGGAATTAAGATTGGCAAGAGGAAACCGAGGTACTCGGAGAAAACATGCCCCAGCGCCACTTTGTCCACCACAAATCCCACTTGACCAGACCCGGGATCGAACCCGGGCAGCCGCGGTGGGAAGCCAGCGACTAACCGCTTGAGCCATGGCGTGGCCCTTGTACGTATACTTAACAAAACATAACCTGGACAGTATAACAGTAAAAAGGCATAGTTGTCCCTGTCCTTAATTAAGCACTACGCCATCCTAAACAATGGATAGAGGGCCAATTCCCCCGGGGGCAAAGCGGTTGGTGCGTGAAGCTCACCACTCACCTCCATCTAGCGCCGAGGTCAAGAATGGCGGAGCTATACCTCCACTCCCACGTATATATGTCTTGCCTACTGTTAAACCCTAAATTCTGCTCCACAGATAATTCCGTTTAAGGTTTTATTTTATCCACTTACGGTCATTTTTAAAGTAATGACAGAAATTCTGCTTTAGAACGCCGTAAGAACAGTTGCCGCCTGAGTGAGTGGGAGAATCGAATTGCATGGACAATGAGTGACCGCTGAGAGCAACGATATATTTAATTAAAATAGGAAGAAAATTTATTTCTAGCCCTGTAAATTCGTAGTATGAACAGCTTCGAAAAAACAGATTATTCATACTGGTCACTGTTAAAAATCTTAACTGTGTCCCATTACTGACTTGCGCAGCGGGAGATTCATATCTGTAACAAATGAACACGAAGATAAATGATGCATGCAAAATCGAAAAGGGAAGGCTCAGAAAAATACATGTTCTCCATAATGTAGTGCGTCTTTATCTCCACGCGAATTTTCGGTTAGTACTTTAAAACAGCCCACGACCACTTCCGTCCACATCAAACCTTCGAGGCTATTTAGCTATACTAACAAATAATACGAAGCGGTCAGAAGAAACCAGCTTGGGGCATTCGTTAAAATTTGGTCCCGGTATTTCCATGTCTGCCCTCTTTCATAATTTATACAGCTGCAAGCATCAAAGGCATGTTTGCTTAATCTGCCTCAACCTGAATGCCGATTACTTACAGACACCAAAAATACATTCTCACACGCTAGTGCAGACATATCTACTACTTTATCACTCACCTGCAGATATCATGCTATCAAGTCAATGTTGAATATTGGCTTGAAAAGGGTGCAGCAAGTTACAAACACCCGTTTTATTAAGAGACCACGTTTCAATGTGTGAAACCTAAGCACCGATTCAAATCAAATAAGCGCTGTTAAAAAAAATGACTCCGTGGACTGTAATCCCCAAGCGAACTATACTGACCGAGCGACCGCTGCTTGTCGGTGAAGTTAGTGCCAACTTTAGCGGATAGAGGGTGTCGTGTGGTCAGCGCAACGAATCCCTATGACCGTTAATTTCGGTGTTCTAGACCGGAATCGTAATTTCCTTAAAATAGTTCCTCAATTATCCTCACTAGGCTGAGTGAACCCCGTTCCAGATCCACTACTTCTCAGAAAATCCGGTAGCGCCGGGAATCGAACCCGGGACCTCTGGATCTGTAGCCAGTAACTTTGACCACTTAGGGCCACGCCACAGCTCAAGCGATTAGTCGCCCGCTTCCCACCGCGGCGGCCCGGGTTCGGTCAAGTGCGATTTGTGGTGGACAAAGTGGCTCTGGAGCGATTTCTCTCCTAGTACTTCGGTTTCCCCTGCCAATCTTCATTCCACATTCTCCATCATCATAATCACCCGGGGCAGGCTACAATAGGCCAATCAGTGGCCGCTGTGCCGAGTGGACCCAGTTGGACTCCACCCCCCACTAAGAGAATTAAAAAAAAAAACTCTGACCACTACACCAAAGAGGATAAGCGCTGCTACGCCGTAAAATCTAGGCTAAAATTATCTTCAGCATATTCAGCAAATAAGTACTACGCTTCTACACACATTTGCTGTCGACCGACATTAATGGCCGGCGAATGGAATGCAAGATTAAAAAGAATGGTTATATGATCTTATCACACGCTTCTGGAACGTGGGAATTAACTGTCTGCTCACCTACGTTCGTGTTTTACTCATACGTAACGATGTGACTGAGGCCGCGCCATAGCTCAAGCGGTTAGTCGCTGGCTTCCCACCGCGGCGGCCCGGGTTCGATTCCGGGTCTGGTCAAGTGGAATTTATGGTGGACGAAGTGGCGCTGGGGCAGATTTTCTCCGAGTACTTCGGTTTCCCTTGCCAATC